GATGCGCTGCACCTTCTAGTTTAGGTTGCTATTATTTAAAGTAGTGTACTATAGCAAGTAATTTCTTATTATAGATTTTATAATTGCCTTCTGCAGGACTTATTCTTTTTAAGAAGTATGCAATAGGCCTAATAGTCCTGTCTAGCTTAGTCTAGAAGAGAACTTCTGCTACTATGTAGTCTAAGGCATTAGCTTTTATAAGTATTAGTAGTTTAAAGTTAAAGTAGTAGAGTATTAGAGCTTTAGTAAAGGCTTTCTTTAGCTAGTTAAAAAACTATTAGTAATTTAAGTTAAAGTTAAATTAAACTTTTTTTTTAGTAAGTGTAATTATAAAGCTTACTAGCTGCAAGAAGTTATTAATAAATTATTAGTAAAAGTTAGTAAATTTTATAAAAGCTTAAACATTTTTTATGTCTTTTAGGTATTACTAATCTAGCACAGTCTAAACCTTAATAGAGTCTATTTAAATGCTATCTATAAAGATTACATATCCTAAATACATAACCTTTAATTAGTAAAACTTGCATTTGTCTACATTAAGTTGCAAACCTGCTTCTTCTATAGCCTTTAGCACTAAGCGTACATGCTGTTTGTACTCTAAAAGGCTGTTGCTGTAGATTAGAATATTATTAATATACGCAGTGCAGAACACGTCTAGGTAGGGTTAGAGCAAGTTGTTTATAAAATATTAAAAAGTACTAGGCGCGTTAGCTAAGCTAAAGGGCATTACTAGGTACTTAAATAGTCTATATTAAGTCTAAAACACTGTTAGCTACTTATTGCCCTTTACTATTCTTAGCTTATTAAAGGCAGTAATAATATCTAACTTTATAAAATACTTTACTTTACTTAGTTAGCTTAGAGTTTCCTATAAAAAAAAAATTAAGTATTAGTTTTTAATAGTAACAGCATTTAGTCTTTAGTAGTTAACACAGAATTAAAGCCTACTTTTAGGTTTCTTTATAAATAGTATAAGTAACACTACTAGTAAAAAGCTAGCTTAAATAAACTCTTTTTTTAGGTTCTTATTAAAGTATTTTTAAAGCACTTTTAATTTATTTAGTAACATCTTATATAGTGGCCTATAACTAGGTTGTTTACTAGGCTTAAGAGTTATCTAGTAATTATATAGATGTTGTATTAAAAGCTTATTAAACTTGTTTTAAAAAAAACATGTAATAAGTTATAGTAGTCTTAAGAGACTATTATTTTTAAGTTAGTGTGTTTTTAGAGAGCTAAAGCTTAGTCTATATTAGAAATTATAACTATGTAGATTTTATAATCTAGTTATTAAGCTAGGGTTATAAATAGGGCAGGTTCTATGTAGCAGATGTCTATCTGCTATTTAAGTCCTAGTTTATGTCTAAATTAGGTAGGTAAAAGTTTCTTAAAGGCTTCTTCTTTTTTAAGTTTAAGTAGTTATTAAATTATTTTACATAGCTTATTTTAGTAAAAGGCCTAGCTTATTAGCCTTACTTAGGTAGTTTTTTTCTAGGTTATTAAGAAGTAAGTTTAAAAACCTTCTATATTAAGTGCTATTTAGGTGTTATTTAGGTGTAAGTGTAAGCATACATCTTAGCATTAAGAAGAGTTAAAGTTTAGAACTTACTCTTAGTAATTAAAAGCAACCTTATGCTAATACAGCTATAGTTGTCCTAGGATTAGGTTATAATGTCCTATGTTTATTACATAGAGCTTAATCTGCTCTTTATAGTGTTAGTAGGTAATTATAATAGTTGTAGTATAAAAGATAGAACTTTCTTTAAGTTATTTTTTATTAAATCTAGTTAAGTAAATTATTTAGGTAAGCAGTGTTAATTAAAGATTTAGTTTACGCGCTAGTTTTCTGTTAATATAACCTATGCTATTTACTTCTAAGTTAATAAGAGCCTGTATTAAAGCTAATACAGTTTCTTATTATAAATATATAAGAATATTAACTTAGTACTTTTAGTTATTAGTAGGGGACTTAGCCTATAGGTTAGCAGAGATCTAGTGTTAAATTAGTCCTAGGGGGCAACTTAGCTCTAGAACAAGCCTTTTTGCAGGCTTCTACTACTATAGCTGCGGCTATGTTAAGAGTAGTAAGGGGGATTAAGGCTTAAATACAAGTTAAAGCCCTTATAAAAATAAAATTAAAATAGTAAAAATTTTTAATAAGTGCTAGCAGCGCTACTTACATAGACTTAAGAAAGGGGAATAAAGCAGTTTTAAAAAATATAACTATGCTTACTACACTTAAAGCATTAACCTTTCTTTTTATAATTTTTACACTCTCTAAAACTAACTAGAGCATAATTTAAATTAATTTTTATTACATTAAGGTCCTTATTTGCAACTGCGCTAGTTTAGAGGCGTATTAGGGCTTGTACAGAGAGGAACCTTATGTTATTATTATAGGTAGTAATTAGGTTTACATATGTGTTAAGGTTGTTTAGAAGAGGTTCTCCTACTATAGCGCGTTACAGTTTAGTTAAGAGGGAGTTATATAAGGCTGTAATTAGACTTATCTTATTTAGGCCTATATTAAATGTAAGTTAGCAAAACTTAGTAAAGTGTAAAGTAAAGCTTTTTTTTCTTTATTATAAGGTGTTTAAGTAACTTAGGGCTGTTAACTTTTTATTTAGGTCTTTATAAGTTACTTATAGAAACACTATAAATTAATCTAAGTTAATAATATTTTTATTTATTAGTAAGTTAATTAAGGCTGTTATGTTATAGTTAAGTTAAAAGTAGGCATATAGTAACTAGAAGTGTTTAGAGGGGAATTAGTCTACATTTTTTTTAAGTTTATATTAAAGCTTACATAAAAAGGAAGGTAGGTCTTTCTGTTTTCTATTAAACAGTAGGGGATTAGAGAGTTAGTTAGATTTTATTACTAAGTTAGAAAGGTTATAGGTTATAGGCAGTGTTAGGTAGAAAAGAGTTAAGCTATCTCTAGACTTCTAGGTAAGCTTTAAGGCTAGTAAGTTCTTAGTTCTTACTACTATAATAAAAGTTAAGGCAGAAATAAACTACTTAATAACATAAAGCTGTTCTTTAAAGTCCTTTTAAAAAGCTTTAAAGCTTACAACATAGTAGCTTTTTTATAAAGTAAGCGCTTCTTAGAAGGCTTCTTAGCTTACTTTAATAGCTTAGAGTTGTGCAAGTACTAAGCTTATTAGATTAGATTTAGAGGCTATTTTTAGCTAGAGTTTTAATATAATGTAATGTTATAATTATGCACAAGTAAGGTTATAGAGCTTTATAGAGGTCTAGTTTAATTACTATGTAAGGTATTATAGTAGGTACAAGACGTTGTGTAAGGAACAGAAAGGTTTAGAAGGAAATTAGTAATTAAATACTTAGCTTAGAAGTCTAAGCACTTTAGGTATAAATTAAGCCTGTTCTAGGTTTAGTTAGTGTTAAGGCAGTTTGTGCTTAAGTTTATGTCTATGTTGTGTTGTGTTTGTGTCAGACGTGCACTAATAATACTCTAGTACGCGTCTAATATGGTTATGTCTGGGATCTGGGGAGGATACCGTGACACTAACATATTATAGTTAGTTAATTAAAACTGCTGCTAAAGCTGCTACTATTAAAAAGCTTGCTTTCTTATCTTCTAAGCCTTTTACTGTTTATTAGCTGCTTTCTTTATAGCCTATAGTCTCTCTTAAATTTTACATTTTTTAGCTGCTTTTATTATCTTCTTAAGCTTATCTTTATTACTTAAGGATAATAAGAAGCTATAACGCTTTTTTTTTTACCTATTATGTAGGTTTACTTTTAGCTAGTTCCCTATTAAAGTTTGCTAGTATTATATAAGCTTTATTAGTAGCTAATTTATATATACTTAGCTTTTAAAGATTACCTAAGCTTATAACTCTAAATTAGTGTCTTTTATAGTAAAGTGCTTATAGGTAGCCTAGTAAACGTAGTAAAAGTGCTTAAAGTTATTATAAGTTAATACTTAGCACTTTTATATATAAGAGATTTAACTCTAGCTATTAATACTAGTAGTAAGATCTTAGATCTTTTAATAAGTACAATTCTTGTTTAATAGCTACTATATGTGCTAAGGCAACTTTTCTCTGTAGCCTAGAGTAATAGAAGAATTAGATAAAGGCTTATTTACTAACTAGTTACATAGAAAGGCCTTTATTATTACTTTACATATAAGCTTTACTTTTACCTTAATATCTACTCTATTTATGCTTTTAAGGCGCCTTATATAGTGTTTAACGCTAGAGAACAGCCTCTGTTCTTTACTAAGCCTAAAGTCCTCTATTATTTAGAGCTGCTAGCTAGCCCCCTGCTTGTTAGCCCTATATTAAATAGTGTGTAAGGTAATACAGAAATTTTAAGCCTTTACATGCTTTTATATAAAAGGGCTTTTAATTATAGCATTAACTTAATTCTTTACCTGTAAGAGTAAGAAAAATGCTTAAAAAACAACCTTATCTACTAGCTTACTATTAGCCTTATTACTGTTTACACGCACTAAATATTATACAGCAATGTTAAACTCTACTATTTAATTAGAGGGGGAAGACTCCCTAGCAGCTGCAGGAGCAGGAGTAGGCTAAGATAAGATAAAAGTTAGAGGGGAGCTTTTTAGCAGCAAAGAGAGGTTATCCTTAAGTATATTAGATAAGGTATTAGGCTTAGGGTAACAGGTAGGAACTATAAGAACAGCTTCTTGCTAAGCTAGAGTAGAAGAAGCAGATTGTTTAGTTGCTTTTACTGCTTTCTAGGGTGCAGGCTTGCTTTTAGTAGGCGCTAGGATATAGTAAGCTTTTTTTACTTTACCTTTACTATTAAGTTAACTTATAATGTGTTAACTTTAGTTTAGTACTACTAGCAGTCTCCTTACGCTTGCTTAACAGGCCCTGTGCCCTTACACGTGTAGAATAGGCTAGTGGGTTGCTACTAAGGTTAATTTAACGCGTCTAGGTAGCTAGGGCTGCTCTAGCCTTCTGTTTTAGGCCTATTGTTGTCCTGTTACTCTAAAAATTAAGCTAAGAGCAGTATCTCTATATAAACTTAAGGCTTTAACTTACTAATAATATTTAAGAAGGATTTATTAATGTATTAGAAATTCTATTAAGATTGTGATCTCCTATGCAATTTTAGTAAGGAAAAAAAAGATCTAAGGAACGCCAAGAAATTTCCTGATTTTTGCACACAATAGATGTGTCGCCAAGGAAATCTACCGATTTTTGCACACGATAGATCTTGTTTGCCAACGTAGAAATGATAGCGACAGTTCGCGGAGGTTTATATGCATTTGAAGTTGGTCTCAGCTCTAGCAAGAAGCTTGACTGGTAAGCTCGCCCTAGTTATGTTCCATGTTGGGTGAGAAGGCGTAGCAGGATTAATAACTGAATTGCCTTCCAAAACCACCCAGCATGATTGAATACCCTTCACTTCAGCCGGATGGGACGGAAGCTCTTGTACACGCAGCATGGCAAATTTTACGACTCCTGTCAAGCTTGTCGCCCCGGACATTAACCTTTCTCGAACGATCGTTTTACAGTGCGCTCAACGTTAGAGAGTTTGTGAAGCATCGCGTCACTACACGTCTCTCCTCGCTCGTATTGCTAGAGGAATTCTATAGCTAGTATATACCGGTGTAGGTGGTGAGCCGTGCTAGGCATGGAGAGGTACAGCGATGTGACGAGTGAGAACGAGGACTGAACGGGTGAGAATATAGAGGATGTTAACAAGTGAGAGCATGATGCCTAGGAGTGAGAATTGTTAAGAATGAAGAGTGCACATGTGTGAGTGTACAAGACGTAGTCTGGCCATAGAACTAGAGTTCCCCTTGTAGGAGAGACCATGTCTGTGTGCTACCTGTGCATTGATAGACATCTTTTAGGAAAGTGCACTGCACTGGCCCCCACCTTAATGACTGAAAGTGGGCTCGAGGGTTCAGCCGCACCATACGCTCTTTCTTCTTGACAATCTTTGCTTTGGGTAGCCGTTCATTGCTCGTTAGTTAGGCGTTAGCTAGTCAATTGCTAAGCATCTGTTTCCACTCATTTTTAAACCTGGACGAAGTGCCTGCCAAAAAATACCCACAATGTGTGAAATTTGGGAAGATGAGTCTATGGTTGGAGAATCACATATGAGTGGGGCAGAGTGGGGCAGAGTGGGGCCAGTTTTCGACCCGGATGCACTGGGGGTGTTGGTACTGCCTACAACACGTTCCGCTTCAAGGAGGTGTTGAAGGATAGGGGTTCGTCCACACATTTTCAGTGCAAACAGTGACCACATGTACGCACAGATAAGAGCCTAAACGACGATTTCTCAGACCCTCAGCTAATTAGTTGTCAATGCCCGCCCATGTGCTGTTTTTAGGCTAGACTCTCCAGCCGAGACGTGGGATCACCAATCGTCGAGGCTGTGTGGAAATGGCGTGATATTGATCAAGAAATGACGCAGAGAACGATACTGAGATGGATTTTGGCGTCAATAAAGTTGTACTTGAAGATGGGAGGTCAGGAGAACGTCATCGCTGTTTGATATGAGATGGTTGATTAAGTCCGGTCCAGAGTTTCCGTCTAGCTGTGGCGAAATCCATATAATCAATCCCATATGCTGCACTCTTTTCACTCATTGTCAGAATCATCATTAAGAAAATATATCAAGACTCAAGGCAGCGTTACGTTATGAATCGATGACGAATCAAGTTCCATGGGCAGTGGTTGCATCTTAGTGACCGAATCCGCGATTCTTCTTGCGTTTTCCTCTGGATTTGGAAATTGGCAGGTGTTTTTGAATGTGCACCCAATGGTGTACGTCGGGTTGAAGCGGTTTTTGTGGAAAATAATGCCAGGATTGTTTAGGCCATCGTTACTAGTTTTACTACCGACCAAAGCCACCTATGGGCGCGATTGAGTCCACGCAACTCGGGGAACATGCGATCTTCCATCTCAATAATTCCTGGAATTCCTACGTTTTGAAACCTCTATGGAGAGCGACAAACAACAATTCAGAACCGACTTCTGGGAAATTTTGCTTGAAGAACTCAGTGCGTGCAATGACCAGTCGAAGGCTGAGTGTGGTGGGGCTCTTGTCTAAGTGCTCTTGCAAACATGGGAAGCATCTTGGGATTATATATCAATGACCTCAATCAACCCTTTGCTCCCCCTCGATACAAGGCTCAATTTCACTTGCATATGAGGTTCTCGGCGGAAAATGATGCTAAAGGTATGCAAGTCACGACTGTGGTCAGGTGTATGCGCAAGGTAGGTGTTCGCGATGATGACGTCAGCGTGATCCACCCAGCACTCATGCGGCAACTCGGGCCGATAGATATACAGTGAAGACGAATGCCCAAGAACAGATTGATGGATGTGAGTCAAGCATTACTAGATGAAGAACAACCTCTCTAGTGGCGTAAGGTGACTTCGGGTTAGGTTGATGTGAAGCTTCTTGGTGAGGGTTACGATATGGCCTTGGGATTGTTGATGTTGGGTGATCCAATTCTGATATCATAGGTTGAGATATTACTTACCTTCCGCCTCTATCGCTTCGATGACTAGGCATGGTAGTTGGGACGGGCAATTGCTTCCCGATGTACTTCATCCCATCATCTACAAAGGTACCAGTAAAACGTGGGTAAGTTAATTCGGAAAGTAGTTGACATATTTTTGACCTTCTATCTCGTTCCATCAAGGAGGTCAATAAGTGAACTCTTTCCTGGGTATGTTGTCCCACGTTTGTCAGTAAAGTGCTGTGTGAGATGGTCAATTCGTATGGGCTGAGTGAAAACTAGATTGACTGAAAGAGGAGATGATGATGTGCAGCGCAGTATGGAATGATGTAAGAAGAGGCGAAAGTAGGGAATACAAACTGGTTTCGCCGTTGCTTCTTCCTTCCTACAGCAACCTTTAGTAGACGCCAGCCTCCACAAACAAACCGCAACCGGGGAGCGATGCGGGGATGAGACCGGAGGGAAGGAACCTCTCACTCACTCTCTGGCTTTCGGACATATTCTGGTTCTCAGCTTGACCACAAGCCGGGCCTCTTCCCGCCCACCGAGTTTGGAGCGCAGCGGTTCTCATCAAACCCTCGCCCTTTCCTGTCCTACCTCAGCTATAAATAAAAGCATCTTCTCCTAAACATGGCTTCCAAAATATGCTCCTCCGGCTTCGACGCGGGTATGACCTTCGCCAATCGCACCCTACGATCACTCTCTCAACTCTCCCAACCCAGTTCACCGATCGAAAGCCCGGGCTCCCCCTCAACACCGCTTATTCCTGCCACACCGACTAATACGCCCTCCACAAATTTAAATTCTCCCACAGCTGGCGCTGTCTCGCCCGTTTGTCTCGCATCGGCCAACTCCCCTGCAAGCCCTTCAACCAGTGTTGGTAGCCCCCTCACCCTCACCGTCCCCACAAACACCCCCGCTAGCAACCTAGACAGCGGGCTGGTGAGCCCAGAAGGTGGCGTAGGTCTTGGAGCGCACCCACCGGTATTTCTTGAAGCACATCACTTCGAGTCTCCCTTGCTTTCGCCAAGCGTTCCACCGAACTCGCCGGAATCTTGGCCGTTCCAAGAAAGCATCAAGGGCAACATGGCGACCGAACTCCACGAGGAGATTCATGCGAGCCTTAGCGATAGGCTGGCAGGGCTTACACTGGCCTCTCATAAACCGGATGGGTTTACCAAGGATGACGTAGAGAAGCTCGGGAGTGCCATACCGAAATCGCCAGGTGCGTTGTACAATGCCGAAGACTAGAAAGAGAATGCGTCACCTTAGAGAAGTGACTGACAATTGAATAAATAGACAATGGTTTCTATGAGATCCGTGTAGTTCCAGAAAAGGGCTTCGGCTGCTTCGCGATCAATCCGATCAAGCGCGGGACCCGTATCCTCGCTGATTCACCTCTTCTCATCGTCCCGATCGCAGAGTACTTCCAAACAGACATCCAGGCTGCGTTTGATAAGCTGACCCATGCCGAACAAGCCTTCTACTTCACCTTACACTCCGCCCACGGTCAGGATCCCGCTAACTGGCCGCGTCGAATCCATGATTCAGTCGTTGGTCGCGAACGCCAGAGGATTGAAGAGCAGCACAAGGCGCGCGTGGGTAAAGAGCCAAGCCTGATTAGCATATTCCAGACCAACTGCATGGAAAAAGATGGTGGTGCGGCAGTTTTCCCCAATGCCGCCCGGTTCAATCATTCGTGCAATCCCAACGCGTGCTTCACGTGGAATCCCGCCATCCAAAAGGAGACGGTTCATGCGATAAAGGACATCCCGGCCGGAGATCAAATTACCTTGGCATACTGCGATACCACGCACGACAAGGCTACTCGTCAATGGGAGCTCAAGCACTACGGATTCCTTTGCGACTGTCATGCATGTTCAGGCGACGAGAGTGATTCGAGCTCGTGGGCGGCCAAGAGCGCGGCAAGGAGGTACCGGATGATGGAACTGCAGCAAGAGACAAGGTACAAGCGTGGTAAATTCCTAGAATTTGGTGTGAAGACGGAAGCGTTTGTAGGGAAGCTACTGGAGTTTGCCAAGCTGATGAACGAGGAGGGAGACTACACGGCTAGAGCAGCGGACATGTAAGAACAAGTTGAGCTTGGAAAACGAGCGCAGACTGACGACGACGTAGCTATCTCGACATTGCTCTTGTGTGCGAACAACATGGCGACCTGAACTTCGCGCGACTTGCAGCACAGAAGGCTCTTCAGATCATCATGGACTGCGCAGGTCCCGATTTCCCGGATGCTAAGAAGTACGCCGGTGTGGTCAAGCGCATCAAGGGCAAGATTGAGATGAAGAGCCAGGCAGACAGAGAGGTCGAGAAGAGGTGATGGTTGGGGATGACTTGGAGGTAGCACAGGACGTGATGAAGTGTAATGACTTCTGGGGGGTTGTTCTGTGTGGATACCGAGCGTGGTGTTCATGGGTTAGACAAAAGGCGTGGTGCTGGGGGCCAGCGGCGGCGATAATGGTTCATGGACTTGTTCAGGACCGGCACTTCGGCATATGGCCCAACAGCATGGCCCTGCAACATGGGGTCTCCGACATGGGTCTCCGACATGGCCCTCTGAGATGGCCCTCCGGAATAGCCCTCGGTGTATTTCTCTATCTCGCCAGCGGTAGTAGACGTAGATGGAAGCACGATAATATGAATGATGGCGTTCAACAGCGGAACAGCCACAGCATCACAGGTGGAGCGAACAATGCGCTAGTCCTATAATAGCAAGCTCACCATTTAGCGCCGCACGCAGGTGAAACAGAGCTGAGGCACGACGACACCAACACAGGCGCAGCCTCAAAGAAGCTACGGGACACATCAAGACAGCGCAAGAAAGTTTGGTTGGCCGCCAACGCCGCTCTCGTCGGCGGCTCGCCATTCCTGTAGACCAGTAGCCCAAAAGCCACCTGTCCCCTACTGGGGCTAATGCACAGCAAGCAGCGAAAAGAAAATTCCTGGCCGAACCACTGACGTCGTGAGCAGTCCCTGTATTGATCTTCCTTTGAAACTTGTCTTAGGTCGCGCGTCCTGAAGTGTCTTTATTACTCACCGCTCTGCCCTAGCTCACTATTCTGCTCTTACAACAGCGTTAGTATTGCAGGGTCCGCTTCACCAGGACACATTTTCGGATTTTAGGTCGACCCGCATTGCATTGACGAGGGCAGTCCTGGATCCTTCACCGCGCCACTGCGACTCACCTACAGCAAGCTACACGTCGACCAGAGCTTCACTCTACACTGCGCGACGGTGCAATTGCGACAATATCGCCAGCCATGGAGGCCGCACCACCAAAAGCCGCAGAACTGACCCCGCCGGCCTCGGCTTCATCTGCAACTGACGCGCCCGCAATCGCATCCCCGCCGCCCACAACCACAGCACCTGCCTCCACAGCACCTGTCTCCACCGTCGCTGCCCCTCCGACGCCTGCTCTCTCTGTGCCAAAGGTCTCCACCTCTGCGGATACGTCAAATACGGTGTCGCCGCCATTTTCGCCCAGCAGCACCACGCCGGTCCTGGAGAAGGAGGAGCTCGACTTCACAGGCAATGTCGAGGTGAACGATGACATACCGACAGAGACGGACCTAAGGAGGGTGGCAGACCTGTTGGTGCTGGATGCCCAGGGCGAGTCCAGGCCGTTCAAGACGCTATATGAGGGTCAAGGTGTTGCGCCGCGACAACTGATAATCTTCGTCAGGCATTTCTTCTGCGGGGTGAGTTGAAAATATACTGGCAAGCCAAACGTTGGATGGGTACTGACTGTTTGCAGAACTGCCAGGAATATCTCCGCACACTCTCATCGTCCATAAGCCCGGAAGCCCTCCTCTCCCTCCCTGACCCCACCTTCATCACCGTCATCGGCTGCGGCCGCCCTGAGCTCATTGACATGTACATTGAAGCGACCTCGTGCCCCTTCCCTGTCTATGCAGACCCCACCCGGAAATTGTACGATCTGCTCGGCATGACGCGCACGCTGGATCTGGGTAAGAGGAAGCCCAACTATATCCAGTCCAACATCTTCTTCACCTCGGTACAGTCCATCATGCAGGGCTTGAAGACAGGCGGCAAGGCACTGAAGGGAGGAGACATCAAGCAAGTCGGCGGCGAGTTCTTGTTCGAGCACGGCAAGTGCGTCTGGGCGCATAGGATGCGGAATACTAGGGATCATGCCGAGATCCCCGACCTGCGACGCGTGTTAGGGCTCGATGACACGAAAATCCCCATTCGCAAGCGCTGGAGCCACGGCATCAAGGAGCTTAGGTCGGGGAAGCAGCGGAGTTCGAGCTGGGGACGGGCGCGGAGCAAGAGCAAGGGTGCGAAGGAGGAGAAGGAGGAGAAGGGGGAGAAGGAGGAGGAGGAGAAAGAGGAGAAAGGGACTGCGGAGAAGGCTGGCGAGGAGAGGGTGGGACTTAGTAGTCGACCGACCGTGTGAACTGGGCTGATTGTGTCGTGAAATGACATCGGACCGATTGAAGCGTGGGATTGGGGGAGGGGGTAAAGCATGGTGGACGTTTCACATTGAGAAGCTTCGACGGGTCGTGTGCACTGGCGAGTACCATTCATGAAGGGCAAGCATGGCGTAGATGTGCAACGGATGGTGCATTTTTGGCGTTAATGAGTTCAATATCATGGCCTACAATTTTTGTTTGATTGTTAATTGATTGTTATAACTGAGAGGTCTCAGACGGTTGAATGGATCGTGTATGTCATCCAAAAGAGGGAATGTCTTCCGCATCCCGCCAAGGCAAACTCCAAGCGCTCATGTCCTCCGTTCGATTCAGACATAGAACCCCGACATGCAGACGAATGTCAGCATGCGACTCTGGAAGCTTTTCAACAATGCCATGCGCGAAATGGCAAGTGGAGCGGGCGCCCCGACTTTATTGCGAGTTTGCACAGAGGAAAACTAGTTGGGATAGCTAACGCCGATTTAAGGCCGGGAGGAGGGGGGGTTCGATAAGGAGGGGCAACAGCGTGCGACATCGTCATCTGAGTTTGAGGAGCTAACCCCACATTGCTGGTTTAAGAGGTAACAAGTGCCGCATGCTGCAGATACCGCCGGCCTTTTTTCTTCTCTGCCTTTCTTCCTGCCTTTCCTCCTGCCGTTCCTGACCTGTAGCTCACTGACGAATTGCTTTACATTCACCCATTTCACCCATTTCACCCATTGAGCTCCATATTTCGTCGTCGCAATGTCCGCGGATACCGTAGGAAAGGTGCGTAATTCCCTCTCCAGTCTCGCGCTTAGGAGAGTAGAAGTATATAGTAGACTGCTGACTTTGATAGACAATTACCTGCAAGGTGTGTAACTTCACCCATCCTCATCAACCTCCTCCATTTCATCCCTCCCTTCCTCGACACCTCCCCCATGCCCTCCGAGCATCCGTCTTTCGCCGCGCATATCCTCTCCGCGAAGCTTGGCGTGCGGATCCGCAGCAAAAGCGGATCCATCATACGCACGCAGCAACTGTGATGACGATATCCATTGCACGGAGAGGATCCGGCCGTGGTTGAGCCCCGATCGGGAATTTTTCTGGCGGATCTGATGCTGACTTGGCGTGTGATTAATATAGGCAGCCGTGGCTTGGGAGGCTGGCAAGGATCTCGTGGTCGAGGATATCGAGGTTGCGCCGCCAAAGGCCCACGAAGTGCGGATTCAGATTTACTACACCGGGGTTTGTCATACCGGTGAGTGGTCTCTTTGCTGCCCGGGAATAGGGGTGCTGGAGCATAGTGGAGTAGTACGGCTGGGGGTTTACTGACTTGATTGTAGATGCATACACACTGTCTGGTAAAGACCCCGAAGGCGCCTTCCCTATCGTTCTCGGGCATGAGGGTGCTGGCATCGTAGAGTCTGTGGGCGAGGGCGTGACGTCAGTGAAACCAGGAGATAATGTTGTTGCACTATAGTACGTCTTCTCCTCCTTCTCTCCTTTCCTTTCCTCTTTTCTCCTCCTCCTTCCCCGTCCCCTAGCCCCATTCTTCTGACGCGCAGACCATCGAGGATATAATCTAACAAAGACCCCACAGCACTCCCGAATGCCGCGAATGTAAATTCTGCCTCTCTGGAAAGACCAATCTCTGCGGCAAGATCCGAGCGACCCAAGGCCGCGGCGTCATGCCCGATGGCACATCACGTTTCAAATGCAAAGGCAAAGACCTCCTCCACTTCATGGGCACATCCACCTTCTCGCAATACACCGTAGTAGCCGACATCTCCGTAGTCGCTATCACCGATAAAGCGCCCATGGACCGAACCTGCCTTCTCGGCTGCGGCATTACAACCGGGTACGGCGCCGCCGTCATCACGGCTGGAAAAGGTGGAATTGAAAAGGGCTCTAATGTTGCTGTCTTTGGCGCTGGCTGCGTCGGTCTCTCGGTCATCCAGGGCGCCGTAAAGAATGAGGCATCTAAGATAATTGTCGTCGATGTCAATGATTCTAAAGAGACGTGGGCAAAGAAGTTTGGGGGTACAGATTTCGTGAACCCGACAAAGTTAGGGAACCAGTCTATTCAGGAGAAGCTGATCGAGATGACGGATGGTGGTTGTGATTATACGTTTGATTGTACCGGGAATGTCCATGTTATGAGGAGTGCTCTGGAGGCGTGTCATAAAGGGTGGGGAGAGTCTATTATTATCGGTGTTGCGGCTGCGGGTCAGGAGATTTCGACGAGACGTGAGTTCTCATATCCCGTTCCATGCTTCCATATATCCATTCTTTCCCCTTCGATTTGTATGGTATTCTCCATCTTGACCGTAGACTGACTTCCTCCCAGCATTCCAACTCGTCACCGGTCGCGTCTGGAAGGGCTGCGCATTCGGCGGTGTTAAAGGCCGAACCCAGCTCCCGGGTCTTGTCGCCGACTACATGGACGGCAAACTCAAGGTCGATGAGTTCATTACGCATCGCCAGCCGCTAGAGAAGATTAACCAGGCCTTTGCCGATATGAAGGCTGGAGATTGCATTCGGTGTGTGGTCAATATGAGGGAGTAGAAGTTGTTGGCCGGGGAATCGGAAAAGAGTTGAAAACTGAGGTGTGAAGGAGTAGGTTGTGAGAGAAGGAAAGCAATGGGAGACGGAAAAGAGATGGCCGTGATTGTGGTGGCGGGTGTGGGAAATATGCGAGCGAGAGGAGTTGAGGGAAATTGTGGATGAGTGGGCGTTGAAGAGAGGTGATGATTATGCAGAACAATCTAATTTAGCAACAAGAAGACTACTCTTCATCTATGTAGGTATCTGTTGGTAATTCAAAAAGTGCAGGATTTATACGGCCCTCGCTCCTCTCATCGCCTCTTCTGGTTGGATCATAACTCTTTTGGTTCGCCGGCTTTTTAACCTACCTAGAGAGTCTCTGTTATCACATCAGCTTTGCCTCTGCGCTCCGTTCCTAGGTAGGGCCAAACGCTCGAGGTATTTAAACCATCCTCCTCCCATACTCCCTCCCAATCTCACTTAAAACATTACAAACTACTCGTCCACTGAAAATATTGGAGAAAGCATTCATGTACCCCGTTCGGCGGGCGCGGCTGCTGATGCGACGAACTGCAGAGCCTGTGCGCGCATCCCCCGCAAAAAGGAAAATCAAAATCAACTGCGCGAGTTAATAGGTGAAAGCATTTTTATGCGCTAAGCACAGCTAGAAAATAGACACTAACCTGCTGTGTTAACAATTGTGGTGGTCGCAGGTGTTGCAGGCTGCGCGAGCTCGCACTGTGCGTGTTCCTCTCGCCGCCCCCGCCCCCCGCGCCCGCGATCGCTCAGTCGCAAAACTGCAAACTTCTTTTTACCCTAACGTAACTCTAACTTAACCAAAAACCACCCACACTAGTAAGTTTTTTAAGATGCAAGGTGAGATTCTTTAGTTTTAAGGTCTAAGCTACTACTTTTGCATACAAAACTTTAGAGTGCAGTCACTTGTTTAAAATGTAACGCGTATGGCGACTCGCGGTTAGTTTCGTACCTAATTTCACTTAGCGTTAGGGCCTGCTAACCGAATCCGGCACGACACAGGCCTGTGTCGTGGGATCCTCGCGGCTGGGATCAATTTCCAGCACAACTTGGATATTCGATTCCAAGTCTTCACCATCGCTACACTCAAAAACGCTCATATCTCCCCCAAGCATAATGTAAATATCCTTACGCCGCTGAATCTCCCTCCTTGTGGCAACTTCATCCCAACCCAACTCCTCCTCAATGTCTATTTCCTCTTGCAGAATACTGCTCGCATAGTCGATTGGACGATATCCGTCCGAGTCCGTAGCCTCGCGATCCGCCCCAAGCCGCAACAGAGCAGCAACCACTTCCGGATTCGTGCACTCCACAGCCACATGCAGAGCAGTCTTTTTCGAGTCACTAGGGGAGCCATTTCCGCATCTCTTGTTCAGGAATTCCTTGCCCAGATGCTGGTAATTTTCGCTTAAAAGCCGTGTCAATTCCTTCACGTGCTCCATGTCGTATAGAGGCACTCTTGTCCTTCTATACGCAACGGCATGCCAAATAGTCCAGTTGGTATGTTTGCTTACAACTACACTCGGCAGCTTGTGCTGCCAGTCCTTCTTCTTTCTTCCTTCATCATCGTATCCTAGAAGGAACTTGGTTATGGAATTAGTACTCGGGCTCGGAATGGTCAGTAAGGCCCCGAGAATGGTGATCTGCGAATAGTTGTGGTGGCCATCGTGGTCTCTAGTCATCAAATCGAAGGACTTCAAGTTAGTGTTTCCACTCTCGTTTGACTCACTGACCGTCTTCGCGAATAGAAAGTCAATGTCAGCACCACGACAGAGCAAAGAGCTTGCAAGATCGAATCTTCCAAGTCGTACGGCGAGAACGAAAGGAGATTCCAATACGTCCGTGAGTCCTTCGTAGTTGGCTGCCTGGAGATCTACGCTCTTGAACCGAGGAGCCAACAAGTTGAAGATCCGCAGAAGAGTGTCCGGTTTCACGGAGAAATCCGCGAGGGCGCAGGAATGTAGGACAGAGATTTCGGCAGATGTGTTGTTCTCCCCTATTGGATTCGTCGGATCGGCACCAGCCTCTAACAGCGCCTCCACAATTTCGAGGGAACCGTTTTCAACCGCGACGTTCAAGGGAGTCCGCGCCGGAATTCCGCATGGCATGTTGAGAAATGTTTTGGATGTCAAAAGCGATTTGGATAATGCAAGTTCAACGCAACGTAGTGAGTCTGATTCCACGGCTTGGAACAGAGCGGTTATCCTTGTGGATTTTCCATCTAAAACGTAGCTCAGAGGTCCTGGGTTGGCCTTCCGACGGATCAGAACATCAACGGTAGACCTAAGGTCCTCTGAGCCGATTGATCTGACACCGGAGTCAACGAGAGACACGATTTTGCTGTTTCTGGAAAGAGCTGTGTGTAGGAGAGGGATACTCTCGAGCTGTCCCACGTCGGAAATGTTCATGTAGTCTAGGAGAATTTCGACAATATCAGCATAATGGCGAATACATGCCAGCTGAAGAGCCGACTCTGGATTTTTTTCTACCCCAGGCTCGTGAGGATCTGCGCCGAGCCGAAGAAGTGTCTCAACTACCGCTGGGATTTTGAAATGGACGGCACGGTGAAGCGGAGTTCCACCCGGAAGCCTCGAACTCCAATATTCCGAGTACGCGGTCCCGGAAGCCTTCTGGTGAAGGTGGCACATTTTGGCCTCGTGTTCGCTTCCGCCCTCTTTGGCTGTGCTAAGCAGCATGAGCGAACCCAATTCCGAGAAACCAGTCTTGAATGCGCCAAGCCAGTGCAGAGGCGATTCCCCCGTGTTGCTAGGTCGCAAATCGGCTCCATTCTTCAACAGGATGAGAACGGTATTCGACTGCCCCGCGCGCGACGCGGAGAGCAGGGAAGTCTCCCCATTGTAGTTCGTGACATTGATGTCAAGAACTTGACCAAAGTGCTGGATCAAGAAAGTGGTTGCATCTTCGAAGCCGCAAGTGGCCGCTAGATGCAAGAGCCCATCTCCTCGCGAGTTGACAGAGAAAGCATTTACATCGAACTCTCCTTCCCGTTGCTTTTCCCGGACCCTCCTTTCAAAGTCGGCCTGACTCTCTATGCCAAATGGATTCAAGCGGTTTCCCTGAGCGTCCAAAAAGTACTCTTTGCCAACCCCTGCCATATAGCAACATAGACGATCTAGGGCAATACCAAACCACTTCAAAATCCTTTCCGCTTGATTCTCATTCGATGCGTAGAGATGGGCGAAATCCTCTTTAGCACCCCAGTATCCAAGTTCGAGATTTCTCCCGAGCCATTGACCAATCGTGACAAGATCTACAGACTCGAAGGTGGAAGAGGTGCGCAGTGCTATAATCGCCCGGTAGGATAGAGACTTTGCTACAGGATCGCCACACCTCGCAGCGGTCAACAGGTGATGACAGGCTAGTTCATCGTTCTCGTCCATCCCGATGCCAAGTAGATAGTACAAGAAAAGCCACCGGGAAGAGGCCATTCTTTGTTTCGTATTCAATTGGTTTTCTGGGGCATTCGAGACCGCCAAGTGGTGTTTGAACAGTCTCTGTTGAAGAGTCCATGGCAGCCTGGACACTGCCTGTATATCCACTTTTTCCTTTGGCTAGCGTTAAAGCAACGACTTGTACGACTATCCAAGATTCTTACCTCTAGCTCGAATAAGTACGGCTTCACATCAACCTCTCCTTCAATAGATTCCCTGCCGCATTGCGAGATGGCACTGGGTGACTCGAGGTTCAAAATGACTTTGAGGCTCCTTAGACACCTATGTAGGTTTCTTTTACTCGGATCGTGCCGGATGGAGTTGCCTAAAATCTCCTCTAATAGTTGAAATCGTTTCGACAGAGGATCGTCTGTTTGCAAGCTCTTATTAGCTTCTTCTAAGAACTTGTCATCTTTTGAGCTTTTCAGTTTCTCCACCAAGGTCTCTGTAAGTTCAGATCCTTCGGAAAATGACTCGAGGCTCCGGAAGGGATTTGGCCCTTTCGACAGAACACGCCAAAACAACAAGCCAAAAGAGTAGACGTCGGTCTGCGGTAGGTTTTCTTTGGCAATTACATCCCGCCATTCCGGACAGTTCCACGGCGGCGTACCCGCAGCGATTTTTCGGAAGGACTGCGGATTGATAACAGAGCAGCCAAAGTCGCTGAGCTTGGCTATTGGTCGTTGATCCTCAAAGAAGACGAGAACGTTTTCGCTCTTCAGGTCGCCATGGACTATCCCACATTTATGTAGCACGTCCAATGCACTGGCGACATCAAAAGACATGGCAATTTTCGAACTAACGGTGGGGTCATGATTACGGATGTAAGCGTCGAGGGTTCCAAATGTGGCATACGGCATTACCAGCATGGGTTGTATGTGTTCCGCGGTTTCTGCTTCCCATCCAATTGCCAACAAGTCGACAACATTTCGACAAGCGGCGATTGGAGGATGCAAAAGTGCTTGAATCTCCAGTAGAATATCATTCCAGTTGAGGTTGTGGGTAGCACCATTCGGCTTGTGCAAGGGATGTTTGATAACAACAGCCAGTGGAAGCTGCCGTTGATCCCCATCTATAAATGCCTTTTCGACTCGAAAAGAGCCACCTTGACCGATACGCTCTCTTTCCGCGCTTTCTAATTGTTGTAGGTCGATTTTGGGTTGATAGTCCAGCGACATGACGGCGCTAACGAATTCGATCGAGGTGTAGCCTGCGGTGGGTTGATTCGGCGGTAGTATGATCGGCATGGCATCAGGTCCGGCCCTGCGACGTCGTAGTCGATACATTTTCTATGCAAGTGTCAGTGTGATCTAGAATGGGAGGAACTGTCAACTTTGTGAAAATTTTACTTCTCTTTTGTACGCTTTCCCTGCGAGTTAACGATCAGGCTGAGGGCTGGTGCACCTGAGAGGTATGCGCTAATAGCTTGGCGGGAGCTGTCCACAGCCTTGTCGACAACGCCTTTCTTGGTGTCTAGAATACCGTCTCATCCGCCCAACGCATGTCCTTCCTTTATCGATATAAAGCTTTCCATTGCCACGATGTCTACCACAGATCTAAAAAGAAAGTATGAGATGTGTGCCAGACGGTACTTAAGGATAATCCAATCCAACTCGGGCAGCACTGGCAACGTGGAACGTGTAGCGTTGGACGGCATTCGTTTCGTACTCATATGCCGCACTCTGGGAATATCAAACGCTCGACTTGATCCAGTTTTAGCCCGCTACCAGCAGTACCTTCTTCAGGACCTTGAAAGATTACATTATTCACTTGAAAGCGTCGAGGGTTCCGCTATAGCCCTAAAGGAAGAGTTTGTCTAACCTCATGAGGCGGCTTCTGCCAAATAATAACAGCGATAGGACAGCCACGCAAAATCACAGGCGCTCACCTCTTGGGTCACAGACATGATGGTGGAGAGCGAAGAATTGCGCGTAAGATCGCATCTCGGACAAATTCATGACGAAACGGACGACCATGCCACTATTTCGGAACCATTTCAGGACCGAATCTCCAAACTGACAAACACGTCTTCTAGCGTGCTGGAATCTCTCCACAGACTGCTCTCCGAGTCTCAGAAGAGGGAGTTCTCAAGGGAAATACATAACTGGCAAACTAAAGTGCTTGTAGGTGACAATGTTGTTGCCTTAAACGCTCTACGGGCCGCTGTGGACAGTTTAGATAGCCCGTCAGGCTTGCTGGCTTCGGAGGTTAATCAAAGGCTGCATGTGATTGCAGAAGCCCGTCCAGAAAACAAAATTAACGCTTCGCTCATTCAAAGACTGCAGCTTCGAACAGAAGACCTGCACCTTGCGATTTCTCAGGAAGAGCAGGAGCGATACTTGGAAACCGTCGCCAGCCTAGAGGGTAGCCATGCCGTCAGTAGATTTCACGGAAAAATTGTCTTCGTCGAAAAGCGGAGAAATCTGGATTCGGCCTGCGAAGGGGAAAAAGCCATCGAGATCTTCTTGAGAGTTGAAAGTCTGGCAGAACGGCTAGCAAAGACACCGAAGCCTGAGGCGCTTTGCACCTTGAATCTTTTGAACACCTTTAGTGACAGGACGGATCAGAACTACGGCTTCATCTATGCCTGGCCTTGGGACATCGAATCTTGGGATGAAAGGCTCAAGCCTAAAACCCTACATCAGCTGCTCGTCGAGAGTGGGCGCGACTTACGCGACGTTGGGCCGTCACTCACTCATCGGTTCGAGATAGCCCGTCGCCTTGCCAATTGTGTGAGGATTTTTCATCGCATAGGATGGCTTCACAAGTCTATTAGTAGTCACAACGTGCTCTTTTTCCCTAGGAACCTAGGTGATGATCCTTTTGAGATGGAGGATGGTATGTTCCTAGTCGGATTCGAATACAGTCGACAGGACGGACGCAACTTTGTAACCGAGCCTGTGACGAAAGAAGGAACCTACGATATCTACCGCCATCCAGATGTGACTGCCTTTGAGCGACGGTCGACAGTAGATGATTCAGAACCGAAAATTTTCGAAAAGAGACACGATTTGTACGCGCTTGGGCTATTGTTGATGGAGATTGGGCTCTGGGACACCATGGAAAGCCTACAGCAGGTTCAGCAGAACGAAGGCCAGGCGGCTGTGCACATTCCTACGCCCCAAGAGTTCTTCAAGCAGCTCAACGAGGGCGGTAAAGGGTCAGCAGAATCCTTGCTCAGATTTCACACTGGTGATAGGTACACTGATGCTACTATGACTTGTCTGAGAGGAGAAGTGAGAGATGGGAATCATGGGGTCGAGTATTTCGAAGACTTTTACACTAAAATTCTTGAATGTTTAGGCTATAGCTTGACTTAAGCTAACGTAATTCACGTAGATTAGAGTACTAGAGGATCATTTCAAGGAGAACATAGGTTTGTAAATTGGTAGGGAGAGCTGCTGTGCCTTCTGAGCTTTAATTGTCCGCATGTGCCAATGTCAGTGCGAGAGCCTTCATGACTGGATGGTCCTTTCCCAAGAACTCTTCGAGATTCTCGCGGGCCTCCTCAGCTGCTATTCTAGGGTCAATCGAAGGCTGCGGTGGAGGCTTATATTCCCTCTTGCTTTCTTTCCCCAATTCGCCGGTTGTGTCTGAAAGGGTATGGACGGTGGCATACTTGACGTATTCGTAAAGCTGCAAATGAACCAGTGCGGCGGAGCCCCTCCGCTTTGGGTCCGAGGCAAGCATGGTCTTCACAAGATCCAATGTGCTTTTGACTAACCACCTAAAGCGATATTTGTCCGTTATCGGGCTGTCTCGGAGCATGTCGATCCAAATCTCGACCTCTGGTTTCAAGTTTCCGGCGCTGTGAAAGAAAGCGTCTGATCGCATCGCGGTATTCGTCGTTCGATTCTGTCGAAACTGCGCCACTCCCATTGGACTCATCAGCTCTAATGTGATGACCTCGATCAGGATGCAGCCCCAGGACCAGATGTCGAGAGCGCGGCCTACGCTTCTTCCGCTTCTGGAAGAATTCCCTAGCGTCTCGGGTGCTCCATACGTCAATGCACCGTGTTTGTGGATCGTACCTGATTGAGAAACGGGGTCTTTCAATCTGGCTAGGCCAAAATCGGCCAAGAGGAAGACTCCGTCTTTGATCAAGACGTTTTGTGGTTTCAAATCGTGGTGATAGCCAATCATTTCGAGGTCTAAGATGTCATGTTTCTTGTAAGTGAAGTTGTGGAGAGAATCGAGCGCAGACGTGATGCCGAGCAGTTGCTTCCAAAGTGCTTCGTGGGTGATTGCAGGAATTGTTGCGGTGCCGCTTAGAAGCGATTCGAGGCTCGCGTCTGCCAAAGGAAAAATCAGGTTGAATTTGGCTGCATGAATATACGATGTTAAAAGCGGTACGATGTGCGGATGATGCAGCAGGTTGAGCAGCTCGAGCACTTGCTTTTCCCGGCTAAACGCAGCCATAGTCATCTTGGATCGCTGCACCTTGAGCTCTTTCCGTGCAAAGAGTGTCTACGCTTCTGTCAACAGCCATGGTTAAGATCGAGTTGATGTATTGACCTTTACATCCGCATCTGGCGGCGTATCTTGAAGCTTTTGAAAGTTCGGGATGATGCCAATCTTGTGCACATATCCAAAGCTGCCCTCCGCATCCGCGATAGGCTCGTCGAGTTCAAATGGAAGAATCACGTCGGAGGGCCAGTCACAAAAAGTATCGCGCTCGATTGCGGGAGCGAGAAAGTGCCATTGTTCCTGAAGAAATGGTTTGGCAAAACTTTGGGGCAAGTTTGGGGCGCTGAGAGGCAAGCGGTCGTCCCATATCTGGCGGTGTAGAAAATGGTCTAAGAGATAGCCCACTCTGCTGATGTAAACAAGAATAGCAAGTATCTTCTTTGCTCTCTTGCTAGTGAGAAGCGTGTAATGCTCTAAAAGATGCAGTTCGAGTCGCACCTCATCGCTCAGCAGAGCGCGGATGCGATCTAACGTCAGGATACAGTCGACCTGTTCGTCGGTAATGATACAGCGATGGGAAGTGGTGGGTATCTGCGCTTGGAAGAAAAGGACGCGTAGCTGTTGGGACATGTTGACGTCGGGGATAGAACTAGATCGATATGGATGCTATGAGCAATTACTTCCCCATAGAACCTTGGATGGCTCCCAAGACTCCATTCACGTGATTGGACTTGCAGCTGGGCGAGCCGTCTGCCACGCCTGACCTGTGTTGCCTGATAGGAATGCAGCGCTCAGCGAGCCGCCCAAACACAACTCAAGATGGTGTCCCAAGTCCTTGAAATGAAGTACATTTCCTATACAAAGCTCGTTGCAAAGCTGGCGGAGGTATTTCCAGGAGACGCGACTGTCAAGGTGGAGGCAAGTGCCAAACTCCCTGGCGTGATTCTAATGTTGACTGTTTGCCGCCAGGTTGCGCCCAACGACAAGTACAAGATCAGAGTCCCTCGAAGGCTTACTCCGGTATGACCGAGAATTCGTTCTGCTACAAGAGCTGAGGCCCTCACAATTGAGAATAGACAGAGATTGCGGAGATCCAGGACGATGATCAATAGCATCCGGCTGAGTATGGGGGTGGTGGGGCGGATGCGCGAAGTCCTTCGTGGCGGAGTTCCTCGGCTGCGCCTGACGGGCAACCTTGATAAATAGGCAGTATAGGGTTGATTTGCGCACAACTAAAAGCCTGCATTGCAATATTTCAAAAGAATTCCTGCATTTTGCACCTCTTGCAATCCATGGTGCCACACATCTCCACACATCTGCAGCCAAACACTATGATTCAGGAGAGCGTGCAAGACGAGATGACTCACCGGACAGGCATTCTCGCCACCCTCTTCGACATGCAACGCCTGAAGCTGCGCCAAAAAGCATCAGAGTTATTCTCCCAGAAGAGCGACTTGCGATGTTTCGACAAACCACTTGGGAGCACGGGTACTTGACCCTGGTTTCAGCACAACTCCATTTCTCACGCCCTATTCTAGTTGCCAACCAGTATACCGTCACTACGTCTTGCGAGTGGGACGACTTCGTCCAGGTACGGGCAAAAGTTACCTAAACCTTCCCCTACTGATGCAAGCCCAGGGAGCGACCCAAGATCTTACCGAACACTTTTGGTGCGTATTGTCCTGTAGGAATGATCATTCATCGACTAGGCGCGTCTAATTTGGATATGTGCTTTAGCTTTATTAAGAAACGCCATTCTTGGAGTCGTCTTCTCATTAGCGAGGAACTTCTTTTCAACTTGATGTCTTACTACTCTATCTTTCCCTCCTTTCTTCAAACTATCTCGTTATTTGGAGTTCAAGTTTCAGAAGGAGATCGACCAGTGGGTTTCTTCTTTCAGCTTCTGACTCGACTCCGCGCCCACGATGGAGGTTTACAGAATCTCGCCGTCAACGGCTATGGTAAGCCATCAGTTTTGCGCCCTTGTGACGAGACTGAGCAATTCCTATCTTAGAACTCCATTATGTACTACGGTACGTAGAAAAACATGGACGCGATTTAAGCAACCCGTGGTCGATGAGAAAAATGGCCATTTGCCACAAGTTCGCTAGAGAGGGGAACATCTCCAGCTGGATCATCGTTCATGGGAGTAAAACACTTCAGGATAGGTTAACCGCACCGCGAGCTGAACCGATTTCGAGCCTTCATGGCTGGGATGCTCTAGAAGCATCTGCAGCTTCGAATCACCTTCTAATCTTGCTTGATGCGCTGCGAAATTGGGATGACTACATTGAATATCTCTCGGCGGAATTTAAAGACACGGTAAGTCTAGCGTATTGCCCTAATCTAAATAAGAAGGCTAATACATTTGCTCCGTACGTAGAACGATAGGGCTCTAGTATCCAAGATTGTGAAAGCTATGGACGACCAGGACCTCGAGGTTACTGTAAAAGACATGCAATGGCTCCAGGGATTCATCCAACATTTGACTCTAGTCTACGCCAGCCTCTCACAAAACCTCAACACCATTAACGAACTTTGTAAATTCACCAAGGCTCAGCCACGCCGCACTCGCGGGCTTCGTCGCCAGAACTGCTTTTTGGGTAAGGAACCAGAGTTCCTAGCATGCGTTCATTTCTGGAGATCGCATTTGAAGTCGACCTTGCAGACATTGCAGACGTTGAAAGCACAAGCCCATGCGTGCTCCCAGTTGATCTACAATATCCTCAAGATCAAAGATAACGAAATTATACAACTTCACGGACAAATGTTAAATAAAATGACCGAAACATCTCGGGACGATGACCGGGTGATAGTGGCGTTAACGGAAAAGTCACAGAAGACGGCGAGGTCTATGCAAACGCTGACATTCCTAACGTTGCTGTACCTGCCCCCTTCGTTTCTAGCGGTAAGAGCCCCGGACCCGATTCTTTCCGAGGTTGTGCACCTAACTGACGTGGGCACCTGCCCGCTTAGACTCTTTTTGGCATGAATTTCTTCGTTGTTAGCAATAATGGGGGGGCGCGGCGGATCGAAATTGTTCCAGACGCATGGATGTATCTAGTTCTTGCTATTCCACTTACTGTTCTAACTGTCGGCATTTGGGCAACTTGGGATCGAAAGCGCGCCAAGAATCCATCTCTTACTCCTTGATTTGGTTCACAAACTTAATTCTTGTGCTGATAAAACCATAATATAAGAAAACGCCCATATTACGAGATGTATCTGTTATCTGCTACTCAAATTCGGGCTTCGAGGACTATTAAGTCACCATGATGAACACAATAAACTACGAACAAGTTCCAGTCGGTTTTATATCGCTCTCAATTCCTACATCCGCGAACCTAATTGAACATTACCCCGAAACCCTCCCCCCTTATCTCCCACTTCTACTGTCTAAGATAAAGCACCTCGCCGCTCTCTATACTCTGGATCCGTCGACCGTAGCCCGAGCCGTTATTAAGGACGTATTCCGATTGCATGCTAGGAGCAAAGTTTTATAGGGGTTGGGCCCGTGCGGTGCGCGAGACCAATACGAGGTCAGCTCGTGCCAGGTGCGAGACTGGAGCGAGGTCAGGTGTCATTCTAGTTCATGTATGATGAGATATATAGGAGGTTTCTAGGAAGACTTCTCGGGGAACCCCCCAATCTGTGATATTAGGAATCCATATGTGGAAGCCTGCGAACTGTCTCTGTGACGCGGGTTAGGCTTCTTTAAGTGCAGACAAGGCGATATTTTTATAAAGCGGTCATAATAGAGGAAGCGTAATAATATGTTAATAGGATAAATGTAAATCCATTTTAAGCTCGTTTAGTCGTTCTAAATTTTAAGATCCGGGAAGCATAAAACGAGACAGCATAAGAAGTAATGAAGGACTATCGTAGTAAGCTAGAAATGCTAATGGGGTTACAATGGTTAGACTTGGCACTTTAGGTGCAAGTGGCTCTAAAAGTAGCGACAGAAAACCTCTAAAAAAGGAGTCAAAAGTCCTCAGACATAGAGTTACTATAGTAAAGCTATCTATCTTAAACCACGGCCTAACGCTATCTCTCGCCAAGAATTCCGTCGATTTTTGCATACGCTAAATATGATGGAATTCTGTGTCTCGAAAACACACCACCTATTCCTAGCGAAATAAGAGTTAGCATGGTACGTTATCTTCTATTTTATCTTGCGGCATAATGCAAGTCCGAAAGCTAATCCACCCGTTGTAACGATTCTACGAATCGTTCCATCTCGGGTCGCTCGGATCCTATCCGAAGGGTCCCCGTATCGGCCCCGACCATGACTCGACCCAGTCCCCCGCAGTTACCCCTATTCCCGCATGTATTTAGTCGCACCTCGCCCCCGTAGCTAGCTCGGTAGTTTTCTGATATCCTACGTACAAGGCCTATAGGTGTCATTGGTATTCCCAGGTCTCTGAGTCCCCACGCACTCCCATATGCCTCTGAGTGGATTCATACCGCATTCGGACCCATTGTCTTGCCTGCGCCATTACACCCGTCGCACGCGAAATTCTCCAATATTCCCGGCAACGCCAAGTAACAACTTTCCCCTTACAAATCTTATAGAAATGCAGGTCACTGCACATACTGCTCCATATAATCCGCCTAATAGGAGAAGGACGTTGTATAATAAGTAAGGCTTTTTAATAGGCTTTATCTACCCTATCTAACTGTTTTTTTAGAGTAGTTACTGCTAATTATACGCTAAAATACTTATCTTTATTATTAATGTAAATAAATAGCTAAAAAATACTTCTACTACTTATTAGTTAACTTATAATAAATAAGAAAGTAATAACGTACCTAACAGGTTGGCTAGCCACACAGGTTAGCTAGCCACTTTTGCTAAGCCCTTACTAAAACTACTCTATTCTCTCGCAAAACAGCCTACTTTAGCCCTATATAAAGTAATATAATATAAGATATTATTTAGAGTCTACTTTTACTACTTACTTACACATATATAAGTTATGCCTAGTCTAATTACACTATCTATAGCGCCTTTAGAATAGCTTACCTACTTTAGCTTACACCTGCTTCTTTGCCTTCTTTCTATTACTGTGCACTCTAAACTCCTTTAAAGCTGTTAAGCATAGGCCTTTTTAAATTATTAATGTCTTTTCTACTTTAATTTACTTTCTTTTATGTAATTTATGTTATGTAGTAGCTTTATTAGCTACTTAAAGCTTAGTAATTTTTTATTATACTAACACTAGCTTATATATAATTATTACTGCTTTTTTTAAGACTTTTTTAAACACTTTAACTATAAAAGTTAGTAAACTATTTATATACTTTTAAATCTTTATTTTTATAAGCATTAATTATAACCTAAGTTCTAGAGTATTACTTAGGGTTTACAACTACTAGGGCTTGTTATATATAAGTAGTAGTAGTAATAAAGTGTGTAACTTTATATTAAGGCCTATTATAACTTGTTATAGGTTAAAAGAAACTAATGTAGCGCCTTAGAACCCTTTTTAGATATTACTAAAAGTAATTATAGCATTATAAGCTACTTTAAAGCATAGTAAGAACTTTATTTTTATAATATAAGTAATTTAGTTATGTATAAAGTTTTTAGCTTAGCGCCTATATACTTTCTTTAAAAAAGTAAAACAACCTATATTAAGTAGCTATAAAAGGTGTAATAAGTAAAAAAGTATATAAATAGTAATAATCTTATTATTTTTATAATATTACTAGAAATAAAGTAAGTTATAGCTTTTATAGCTATTAATAACTAGTAAATAGTAGCTGCTAACAGTATACTTTTTTATATGCGTGTTAAAGTGCTTTAACTAGTCTAAACTAAGCTAATTAGTAGTCTAGCTGCACTTAGAAATTATAATAACTTAATTTTAAAGTAGATTTTTTTTTATACTAGTTTAAAAAGTAGTTGCTACCCTAAAAAATAATAAAAAGTAGAATAGCCTACTTTTTAGCATTAATGCTCTAGATAGCTATTGTCTACTTCTAGTTACCTAGCTAGACTACTTTTAGCTATTCTTATCTTTTTAAACCTATAACAACTACTCTAGTAGATATTTAGCTTATTATAAACTTTATTTTATTAAAGTTATATATGTTATTATTTTAAATACTATACTTAGCTTTAATATTCTTTATAAAGTTAAACTAGCTTTAAATTACTATAAAATTTTTATAAAAAGCTTTTTTATAGTTATACTTACACTTAAACTTTACTTTAAGCTTTAGGTAACACTTAATAAATATATTAAGCTAGTTTATACTAACATAGCCTATATTATACTTAGTGTGTAAAGAATTAGCTATATTAGCTACAGCTACTAGCTAGAGGGGAAATCCTTACATATCTAGCTTAAGTATGTGCTAAATAATTATCTACTTTTTATTATTATCTAGCTTTTATAAGTTAGCTATATAATTAGCTTAAAAAAGTTATTTAGCGTGTTAGTTACTTATTATCTTTTAAAAGACTTTATAAATAGCTATAGCATGTTACTTAAAAAGTGTTATGTTTTATTTAAAAGCCTAAAGTGTAAGCTGCATCTAACATTTCTTTAACATGTTTAAGTAGTGTTGTTAGAAATGCATTAGTGTAAAAGAAGTAGTGTAGTAGAGTCTTAGCAAAAGTAGGCAACTTAGGTGTGTAAGCAACTTGCCTATGAAGTACGTTAAGTCTTTTTATTACAGCACAATCTAGCTTAATTAGCCTTATTCTAGCTCTTAATAGTTTACAGTAAAAATAAAATTATGTAAAATACTACAACAGTTTATAAATGATCTGTAAAAGCAAAGCTTGCTTAGAGCAATAGTTAGCGCATTAAGGTAGGTTATTTAGGTTAAAGAATAGTTGCAGCATAATGCTTAGCAAAGTAGTATTAGACAGGTAATAGACGCATAACAACAACATTTAACTATAGCATGTAACTAATTATAGCCTGTAACTAAGCGTAGCTAATACTAATCTCTAACACACTAATGTAGCTAATTGTTTGCAGTAGTGACACTTAGATGCGTTGTCACTATTGTCACACAATAGTTAGATGTGTTGTCACATGATGGTTAGATGCGTCAGCACTATAGTTGTATGCATCTTACTATAGCCTGTTGCTAAGACTCACCTACTTATTTTGTATATATATAGACTTCTACAAAGGATTCCTCTAGCAATATATTTAATCTAGTTCCTTATGCTTCTAGTGTCTTACATAGCTTCACACTAATACTAATCCCTAACACACTAATATAGCTAAAAAAAAAAAAACTTAAATAATAGCTAGCTAATTCTTAGCTTTAATTAAGTTAGTAAAATTTCTTTTTTAAAAACTTAAAGTTTATATAAATTTAAGATTAGTTATTTAGAAATTAGTTAATTATTAGCTATAATAAAAAAAACAGGTTCTAGCTTTAGCTCTTAACACATTTCTACTTTTATAATAGTCTTCCTCTTCTTTACACCTTACAGTCTCTAGCGTTGCGCCTGTTCCTTTTACTGCCTAATACTGCCACGCTATGCTTAATACTGCTACTTAATATCTTTAATTTAATTATTTTAGCATTAAAGCCTTAGTTGTAGAGAT